TAATACCATAAAACAAAACACTAGCAAGCAAAAAAAAAAAAAAAAAAAAAAAAAAAAAAAAAAAAAAAAAAAAAAAAAAAAAAAAAAAAAAAAAAAAAAAAAAAAAAAAAAAAAAAAAGAGCACTCTAAGAAGTGACAGCAAATGTTTACATTTTGGTTCTAAGCTGTCAGATTCCCAACAGTTTGTGTGAATAATCTACATTATAACATTCTTTTCTTTCTATCTTGGCCTAAGGATGTGGGTATAGGACCCTTTGAAATATCAGATGAGAAGGAAAAGAAAAAACAAAAAACTGTGTTCGGCAAAAAAAAAAAAAAAAAAAAAAAAAGAGAGAGAGAGAGAGAGAGAATTATGTTTTATGAGAATAATGATGACAGAGGTGTCTAAAACAAAACCAAAGCAGAACTCACAGGAGAGAGGAAAATCATGGATGCCACAAATCAAGAGGCTTTCAGAACTGTGTAAATACGGTAGTCTTCTTGTTGAGATTTCACTGCAGAAGTCCTCTGATCTGACTTGATCACAAGTGGCTCGGTTAATCAAAATGTCGGAATACAGAATCAGAAAAATGTTCCTTATCCTCATTTGTGTTCCCTGCAGAGGGAGCTGAGAAGGGAGGTGGAAGGGAGGGACCTGAGCCAGATCACTGGTTTTGATTCCCACTCGATCAATTACCAGCTGGGGACTTTGTGCCTGAGTGTCCCCATTTGTAAAAATGGATGCCTGCCTCATCGGATTGTAATGGAGATGAAATTGGTGAGCTCCTTAAAGGCTGTAGGAAAGTATCTGATACGTGGGAAACACTATGCATTTTTAAATAACACTGTTGATAGGGTCAAGTCTACTTCTTTGCCTAGGGATCCTATTATTAGAGTCTGTTTTGTTTGGCTTCTTTGGGTGGGCGAGGGGCATCAAACACATGCTTTATGCATTGTTTATGCATATGTCTTTGTTTTGGGTTTTCTTAACAGTGTAACAAGAACTTCAAATCACTTGGGAAACAATTTGGATGCAGAATGCTTCTATGTTTAATATAATTCTCCAGCTCCCACAATTTTTTTAGTTAGGTACCTATATTTCATTTGCTCATAAACATTTATTTAGCGACTCGCCTTTATAGATGGTTTTGAAGCACTGAACTTTGTTTTATATAAACAATTCTTTGGGTATCACATTTTATCGGTTTATATAGTAGTTAAAAATGATATAATCACCATAAATACTACTTGCAGAAACATAATGAGTTACAAAGATGGCTCATTTACGGTGAGCATTCAACCCAACTGGTAAGAGAAGAAAGTAAACTTAGCGGAGAACTCTATTAGTTGCCAATATTTGATGAATTGAGTCTTGTTTGACATGATTCATAAGAAGAAATGGTGATCGTTGGCTAATCTGGCCAGTAGATTCAAATAAGGTTAATTAGAGATTCGGGTTCCATTAAGAACATTCCTTTGGGATTTTACTTGCTCTACTAACCTCTCAATTCTTTGGAATTTAGCACAGATCACTGATTTTAATACAAAGGGCCTTGTTACTCTGATTTGTTACCACCCCCAGTCCCAGAGATACCACTCTAGAAACTGGAATTGCCACAAAAGATTACTGCCATTCTTGGTTTTCATTTTCAGGTTAGACCTTATTATTATTATTATTATTTTTTTTTCTCAGCATGGATCTGGTTCCCTTTGTGAATTTCCCAGACTTCGTCAACTAATCCATAGAACAATGCTTTTTTGTCTCTCCTATACAAAAAAAAGGGGAAAAAAGCAAAAAAAAAAAAAAAAAGCGCTAAATAATATCCATGTAACTTCTTACTATTTTTAAGGGACAGAGACTGGTTCTTATAAATTATTTTCTTTTCGACTTCTCACAAGCTATCTCCTAAAATCACAGTGGGTTCAACACTCTTCTTTCTATATTTCTCTTCAAGAGGGCACTCCAGATTGTAGATAATCGTTAGGCTGTATTCAGCAGATGACACCTAAGATAAGATAAGGTATCTAAGATAAGCGGAAAACTACTTAGAAATCTATGGTACTGAATCTCCAGTCTATGGGCAGATGCTGTAAGTTCAATAATATTTGGGAGCAGGTACACTGGTGGATTGGCTGCACCCGACAGCCACACCCTCAAATAGTCTGGGCTGGATGAGCACAACTGAGTACTCCCAAAGCATGCACACAAGACAGGAAAAGTTCAGAAGAAGAGAGGGCATAAACTTCCCTTACGTGTATGCAAAATAACTACCAACTTGCAGAATAAATTTGTATCATTTATTCATTACTCCATTCAACAAATAATTATAAAGCTTCCATAGGTGCGAAGCAAGCATAGATTGCTTTTGCTTTAGCCAGTACTCCACAGTATGTATTTGTGCCACCAGAAAATAAAAAAATCACAAGCCACATAATTAACAGACCCCCGAAAAAGCCAGCAACTCCATCTCTCTGTGACTGTGAGCTGTAGATGGTAGAGGACAGGCAGCCCACTTTCTACCATTTTTCTTTAAAGAACTATTAACAGCCCATCTTTCAGAAATGTTATTTAAATTAGAATGGCTCCTGGAAGAGAAGACTATTTAGGGAGGAATATAAAGTGTGTTGGCTGAAAATATCCAGTGAATAAACTCTGAGTTCTATTGTTAGCGTACACACCATTTCCTGCCATTTGGATATGGATTTCAGAAATTTGTGACAGCCAATGAAAAAGTTTAAATATCTATGGCACATGTGTTTATTATGGAAATAAGCCATCATGATTCATAAACAGGGACTATGGATCCTTAAACATTGTTCCAGAAAAGCCTGAAGTTAAACCAAGCAAAATGGAAAAAATTCATGAACATGCAACAGCTGTTGAAAGTAATTATAATATTGGATCTTGATATAAGAGAGCAAAAGAAATAACAACTTTTTAACAGGCAAGACTCTCTCTGACAAACACTTCTTGTGGTTGGAACCAGGAAAGAGAATAGAGATAGACAATTTTTTTCTGCATAATTTTTGAGTCCTAAATTATGAATTATGTTTTAACAGATAAAGCAGAGGGGAGATTAATTTAGGAGATGAGATCTACGGTACAATTGAGAGACTTGCTTTATTTTAATTTGGGGGAAAAATTATACTTTTGATGTTGGGCTTTATCGAGCATCTTTCTTTCAATGAAATGAATGGCAATTTCTTGTTATTTCCCTGAGGAGTCAAGGAAAGATGTTCATGCCAAAGTTCAGAGGGTAAATGAGCAGCACTGGCCCAGCCATCAGGAACAGTGTTGTCCTGTAGAACCTCCAATGGCAATGGAAAAGTTCTGCATATGCATCACCCAATATGGCGGCTACCGTCTCTATGAGGCTTTTTAACACTTCCAATGTGGCTAGTTTGACATAGAAACTTAATTTTTATTTAGTTTTCAATTTCCTTGGCACTATGCATTTAGTGGTTACAGTGCTGGGCAGTAGAGGTTAGAGGATACCACTGTCTTCTCTCTCTTGCTCAGGCAACAAGGCCAGGCAGCTGGGGTTTATTTTTCATACGTCATCACTGTGAAACCTTACCTACCCTTTGGTATATTAGCCTAAGAAGGGCTCTAAGCAAGGCTCATGGGAGCTTATTTGAGCAAATATACACATTAACAGGATTTAAAAAACCCCAGGACAGAGCAAAGATCAGCCTCCCAGCTCCCTTTGCCAATTCATGTGTCTCCCTGAAGTCAGGTATGTTCTCTGGTGCTTTGTCAGGGACATCATCCAAAATGATTCCAATGGCTTGACTTTCCACAACTTTGCATGTTATGAAGGAAAGTCAAGAAGGAGTTCAGTGACAACTTTTAGACAAGGAGAACCTGAAAACACTGAGGCAGAATATAAGAATTGTGTGTGAGGAGGAATTCTCCATGGAGACAGATATGAAAGGAAAAAAAAAAAACAGCAGAATTTTTGATTAGAGAGAATGAAATAAAGAAATGTACTTGAATAAAGTACATAAAGTACACTGAATAAAGAAATAAATTACATAAAACTCGTCCTTGCTTATCACAGAATGCAAGATCACTAATACAAGACCCCAAAGTAATCAATTATTTCCCAACTCCATTCCACAGTTTCACTTAGTTTACTAGAGGACACCTCTGATGGTACCTTTTACCTGTTTATTATTTGTTGATGTCTTTCTTTATCTAAACACAGCTTTCGAAAGTCAGATAAATTTAAGAGAGGCTCAATTTTAATGACATCCCTTGAGAAGGGAAAGAATCTGGGTTCCAGTGTATGATGCCTTGCCTATGGAGATACTGGAAACTTTTGAACTAAAGTAACTTTTTGTCAATAGCTTTTCAGAAGCAAGGATTGTTTTCCACATAAGCACATACCTGGAGGAGCAGATCAGAAGTTGGTCTGATTCGCTGTTGGAACAGGATGCTTAACGTTCGATTCTGTTGTTCCAAATCAAACACTCTTGTTTTCAACTTTACACATTCCTCCCTTAGATCCTACAACAAACACAGTGAAAGAAAAAAAAATCTATAACTGAAAGACACTTTTGCATATTATAACCATATTTCATCTGATATTTCAGACACATTAGTATAAAAATAGTATTTTTATCCTTCAAAGCCCCCAGGAATAAATCACATACAGTGTTTTCTTCCATAGCCCATTGTCTGACAGAATTATTATGTGCAGAGAAGACCAATTTAAAAAAAAAAAAAAACGGTACCTTAAAATCAGGAGTGCATTAATCTAGCATGCTATTTTTGAAGATGGTAAATGTTAGCGATATAAAGTCAATTTGAGTTTCCACCTATATTTTTTGCCTTTTCACTGTCTTCATAAAAGCAATCATAAAGCACAAACCACAAGGACAATAATGTTTTTGCAGTGAATAGAGATTTGATGAACTAAAGAAACTCACTTTTGATAGAGCCTTTTGCTGTCATTTGTGGAAACAAGTTGAAATTTTCAACGCTGGGGCTAATAGAACCAGTGATGCATTTAGAGAGGGAGAAGCAACTCTGAAATGAAAGCTTTAAAAGGCCACTTGAAACCTGCCTGTGCTCTGAACTGCTGGATTTCCATGTATTTGGGGTGGTTCATCTTGGCTCTGGGGAAGAAGCTGAGGAGCCATACCTGGGCATCCTTCTAGAACAGCTCTTTTGAACTGTTCAAAGACCACAGAGACCTCTTCCCTCCTTTCATGAGGGAAGCTATACCACAGGAGATTTAGGATTCTTTGGAATCCACCAAGGAACTGCCTCCCAAACGAATTTGTGATCAAGATACTTGTAGTACTTAAGTGAGTACTACAAGTACTCACTTTGGTGGGGGTTCAAGAAAGACCAAGAAGAATAATGTTCCTGTTCAAAGCTCTTCAAAAGCTGATCTTTTTCTACGTGTCAAACCTGATCTTTCCCTGCTTCCAGAATTTTTAAAAATGCTTCTGCTTGGGGCGCCTGGGTGGCTTAGTGGGTTAAAGCCTCTGCCTTCAGCACAGGTCGTGATCCCAGGGTTCTGGAATCAAGCCCCACATCGGGCTCTCTGCTCAGCAGGGAGCCTGCTTCCCTTCCTCTCTCTCTGCCTGCCTCTCTGCCTAATTGTCATCTCTGTCTGTCAAATAAATAAATAAAATCTTAAAAAAAAAATGCTTCTCCTTTTACCGTATAAAGAACAATGGTCTACTTGTCCTTGAAAGCTCTGCCATTCCTGCCACCCTCTCCCCTCTCCTGCCATCATATTCCCTTCTGACCACCCCCCGCCCCACCACCGCCTGCCACCATTCTATCCAGTCCAGCTTTGGCATTTTGGCTGATGTCCATTTTAAAATCTGTCTCCTCCCTGACTTTTTTTTTTTTAAAGATTTTATTTATATTGACAGATCACAAGTAGGCCAAGAGGCAGGCAGAGTGAGATAGAGAGGGGGAAGAAGGCTCCCCACTGAGCAGAGAGCCCGAAGCAGGGCTCGATCCCAGAACCCTGGGATCATGACCTGAGCTGAAAGCAGAGGCTTTAACCCACTGAGCCACCCAGGCACCCCTTCTCCCTGACATTTTTATCTGGAATCCCATTCCTTTTTCTGAACTCCTATAGGCCTTCAATGCCTCTTATAGGACATTTAGCATGCACTACTTTGTACTGATTTTATCTTTCATACTCTAAACTTACATGTCAAAAGATGGCAAAGGCAAGCATAAGATACCCTAACAATCAACAGCACAAGCAAGACTGTTTTTATGCTCTTTTATTCCATCACTGGGCAAAACACCAGATATGGTAGGAACTTAAGAAACTGTGATTATTTTGTTAAATTGGATGATGATGATGATGATGACGAAGACAAATTCTATTCTCTAGTGGTGTGTGACTGAGGCTCTAAGGTTCTTAGCATCCAGTGTGTGGATCTATATGCTTTGATGTGGGGCAGCTTCAGGGTGTACTTAAGACTCTGTAAGCAACACAGAGAGTGAGGCAATAGCTCTGATCCCCAGCCCTAAACAAGAGTCACAGAGGTGAGTAGCCTGTCCATAACCTTGTATGAAGCTAGACAGATCCAGCTTTGGAGGCTTAACCAGAGCCTCATTATATCCAGATTATACCTCATTTATTCTACTTACGGAGGGCAAGGGAATAGGCCATGGTGAGGGTCACTGTACAGCTTATACTCTCTTCACCTTTGTAGTTAAATGGGTAGAGTTTAGGCATAGTATATTTCCAACTGATTGCTTCCTCCAAATGCAGAGCATAGAAGAGAAATGTCATGTTCAGAACAAGGCCCCTGACTCCAAGCTCTGGGAGGACAGAAGCCATCAAAGGCAGGGGCAGGAGTGTGCACATATACCATTTGGCAGAAGCCACTCTGGGGGCCTAGGCACTCCTCACATTAAAAGGCTAAAGCTGTTTCCTTTATTTAGAATTCAACCCCTGTCTGTGTCTCACTTACTCTACTTTCTGTTTATAGCACGCATATAATTTCTCCCTGCCCCCAAATACTGTTTTCAGTACTGCTAATTAAGTAATTAATAAAACTTGACTGCAAAGTAAATAAATATTAATAGTACCTATTGGGTGGGAAAACATAATCATTCTCATTTGCAGGTGAAGAAATGGGAGCAGTAGCAGACAAGTGTGGGGTTGCAGGGAGAAAGGAGACCTAGAAGGAATAGCATTGATGATTTTTTACAGCACAACTGAGATAACTTGAAAGAGTTCTTCAGATGGGTTTTAAAAAAATAAAAAAGGAAGAAAGAAAGAATAAAAGAAAAAAATCAATATACTCTGTAGAGATTTTTGTACAGGTGTCCACATTTCAATGGCCATTACTATTACTTAAGATGGTAAAAGTTCATTTAGCAGGAACCCAATCGATTGACCTTGAGAAATGTTCATCACTGTTGGCTCATCGAGATCACCACATGGGAGAGGAGGGGTGTGACTTTGGTCTTAAAATCACTGACCAACAGAATTGAGCTGCTCTGAGAAGCTGTAGACCTAAAAGAATCATTGTCTCTGTTGTTCTAATATTCTTGTCCTCTTTATTCAGGCTGTGGATGGTAAGTGATGTGGACAGTTATCCCAAGAAATTGTATTCAAAATCACGCATGTGTGCCCATGTGCACACATGTAAGCACAACCAGACTGCGTGGGTGGAAAGAGAGAGAGAGAGAGAAACAGCACTCTCTCTGACCACTATAATGAGTCTTCAGCAGAGGGTGACAGACAGCTGTGTCCTCTATGCTTACACCAGGAACCCGCTGACATAAAGTAGCATATGACACATGGAGGTTGTCCACTAGCACCATTATTGTGATCCTGACAATGATAGAGGTAAGACCTAGACTCTCCTTCCCAAATAAAATGTTAGAAACCAAAGAGCACTCTACTCAGATGCAATCATTGGCTCCCTGAGGAGGCTGGGTCCTCTGTTCTCTCTCACATCCTAGTATATCCAGGCCCCAAGAAGAAGACCCCTTCCTGAAATGAGAAAGAGACCTGACTTTATCAGGGTAGAAATAAAGCCAACAGTTTGACTACATTTAACATCATATGAGAAAGTACAGTGGGTTCAAGAAAATAGCCAGACCTGTTCCTTGTAATCCACTCGTCACTATCAGTTAGAAACAGAGTATGGATTAAAGCTGAAGGTGAGGGCAAAATATGCTGAGCAACATGATACACTGGTCTACAGGACCTTGGGCATCTTCATGATCTCAAACCACAGCTTCTCTGAGTATCCATATACCGTAATCCTGGCAAGTTTCATCTGCACTTGGGCTAAAAAAGATTCTGGATCTACTACTGGGTAGTACCTACGAGTACAGCTGCTTCAGTGTATTTAGAACTAAACCTCTCCCTGCTGAAGTCAGTTTAATAAAGTGTTGATTGCTTCGAAGCAGGACATACTGTGACATCACTGGAGTTTTAATGAAAATTATTTAAATCTGATTTTATCATGTAAAAATGATATTATAGTGGTAGAGCTCTTTCAGACGCAATGTGTATCATGGGAATACGCCAGATTGGGAGTTGGGGGTCTGGACTCTGGTCCTCATTACCCACATGACCTTGAGGACATAACTCATCCCCATTTTGCGTCAGTTCATTATCTGTAAACTGAGCTACTGTACAAAACAGAATTTCAAGAGAATGCTGCTACATCAGATGGCTTTTCAAGGGCCACCTCATTCCTTCCCTGAAGCTTAATGGCCACAAGACCCACCACTTTCTCCTGGTAACATTGCTTCTCAGCCGCTGTCACTGATACAGCCCTTTCTTTGCCTAGGATGCTAAGACTCGTGTAAAAAGAAAAGCCATCTCTCAGACTCACTGAAGGCCTCAATGTGAAATGTCGACAAGGCAAGGCAGGTAAGTAACATAAATGCGTGCCTGAATCAGTCCAGCCCTAATGAACAGGAAGTGGTTAGCCCTGTGGCAAGCTGACTACTGCAAGCCTTCATCCTGAATGCATTCCGATTAAAACAGTTTTAAGATGGGTGATGGCTGAACAAGTTTATGAAATCATAGTAAGTTAAGCCTATTACCGGAGCTAGCTGACCATCTCAGGATTACATGCGCGCTAAAGCCCCTGGCAATTGTGAAATTCTGGGGTCCAAGATCAGACGGATTCTGAGAAAGCTTGACTCCGGTCAGTTTAGACTCCACACGTGTCAGATCCTGAATATTCTTGCTAGCCAGGACTGGCAATGGTTCCAGGAGTTTTAAGAAATCCATTGGCTCCTTTGCCCTTTTGTTCTATTTCCTGCGGTCGTATCTAATAATTGGATTTCAATCCATCTGTTGACTTCCAAAGCCTCATCTCTGCTGCCGAACTACAGTGGGGGAAAACAGTAAGTGATCCTAGGGGATCGTGGAGGCTGAATGTTGCAAAGGCAAGATTCGGAGGGCAGCAACCCTAGGTTGAACATACGGGCTTTGCCACTTCTTGCCATCAGAGCTAATGGAAACCGTGTTTCCTTAGTCCTATCTTACAGGGTTGCAATGAGTACAAAATGACTTCATGCATTTAAAGTGCTGGACATGGAGTCTGACTCCTTGTAAGGTACACAGCAAGTATAAACAGACCCTCTTCCGGGAACTGGATCCTACACATCATTGCCAGCTGAGTGGACATAGGTGGCCCGAATGCCCCTCCACAAGGGAAGTGTGTAGAAGTTTGGAGTTCTTTCAGACACAAGCTACAAAACTGTACTCTGCTCCTGTCTGGTTGCTGCATGGCTAGATTCTATCATACAGAGCCTTATTCCACGTTGGGAATAAAAAGTCAAAAACCAAACCAAAACAAAAACACCATATAAATATTGGGTTATCCTAAAGAACATGCAGACAAAGCTGAAGTTGATATGCTGTTAAATGACTAGAGAAAAAAGGGTTTTCTTCCAAGTTTGATGATAGTGGCAAAAGAAAAAAAAAAAGGCAGTAAAGAACCAGGACAGTTACATTTTTAGTGAGTGTAATTGACTTAATGAAGATAAAATATATTTCAGACAAAAATATGAGTTTGGCCTGAATTATTGATTTCACTTGCACTTGTAGCCTCGCACCTATGATTTGGAGTCATTAATGGGAGTGAGCTGGGTTTAATATTGTCACTTTAGTTTTATTGATCTAAAGGAGGGACAATCTGCTGTCTTAAGGGAATCCACAAGTTTCTGAGATAAATTGAATTACTTGACTAGGACAGTATATGTACATTTAACAGAAAGTGCTAAGTTCGTGGAAATAATTTTTTTTTTTTATCAGCATTGGGAAAAAGAAGTACACTCTGTTATTTCAAGATACTTATCTGGGCCAGTTCATGATATGTCAGAAAAATGCTTTTTTGGTTGCTCTTGGCAGATTTGCTTTGTGTCATAACAAATGATATATTCTAAAACTGCATGGTTATGACTGTAATTTCATCTCAAAAAAATTTTTTTTGGTGACTTGGATAAATCACTCAAAATTTCTTCTTTCACTCTGTGCCAGCTACATCCCTCTTCACAATTTGTTTTGTCACCTGCATTCGGAGTACATTTTGTTTCCTGTATTATGCTCTTAATTAAAAAGAAATTTGAGTCTTCTTGTAGTGATTTTATGGTTCTTATAAAAACTGGGAGGTACACGTTTCTGTAGAACATGATTCTTTTGGAATCTTTGAAAATCCTGACATCTCTTCCTGCCTCAGAGTGTCCCTGAGGTATGCTATCTCACACAGTAGCATGTCTTTCTGGGTCTTACTGCTTAACTGTACCAAGGTAGATTTATCTGTTTACTAGTTATTACTTGGATTTGTGTAGCTATTTTTGTGGCTGACCTGAAGGGTCCCATTTTCCTTTATATTTTACCAGACACCTTCCTTGTCTCTTTCCTGAGACACCATTAAAAAAGAGAGGCATGAGAAGTTTTCAACAGTTACAGAGCTGCATCAGTGCTTCCTTCATTCCTTAAGTTTATAATTAAATGAGCGTAGAGTTTCCAATAGGAGGCAATACCATGAAAATCAATTTTCACTAGGCACCCACCCAGAATTAAGACTTCACTGTCAGTTTCCTTAGGTGTGGCTGTGTGACTAAGATCTGTTCAAGGAAATATAAATGAGGAGGTAAGAAAGCTTTAGGAATTCTCTCATAAAGGGCAGCTAGTGTGTGCCCCTTATCTTCTTCATTTACTTCAGGTTTTCCTCCTTCCTGATGGCTGGAATGTGGATGTGATGACTGGAGCAAGAACAGCCATTTTGGACCATAAGGTGACCTTTGGAATGGAGGCTGCACCTTGTAGAATAACAAGATAGAAACCAGAGACACCTGGGACCCCATGGACTTTATGGAGCTGAGTCACCATAGCAACCCTATACTGCCTGCCTGAAGATTTAGATATGAGAAAGAAATAGTATTTTAGTTTATTTAAGTTACTACCATTTTGGATCTCTGTTACTCACAATGGAACCTAATTTGACCTAAGAGGATAGTCAAATCTCTCTATGTGATATTGATGTAAACATGAATCAGTTAAAATCATTTGAAACAGAGAACGTGATTCAACAAAAGTAGTTGAGGAGAAAATCTAGCAAAAATAATATCACAGTGCCTCTATAGTATAAATTGAAAATATTTAAGTATCTTTAACAAGAAGTGGTCAACTCCTAATAAAATTATTCTTTATTAAAAAATCAAATGTCATAAATTACTTTGTTATCATCAGCCATGTACTCCAGAACATGCCACATGATCTAAGATTTTCTTTTATAGAAAAATTACCATCTCACAGAGGGGTAATTCAGAACAAACGAAATCTGAAAGAACTAGAATTTAGCCTCTGAGAAACATTATAGAAGGAAATGGGAAAGTTTCCATAAGACATACCAAAATGGCCAAATTTGGACAATAACTTGCATCTGCCCACTCTGACCCAATAATGTGATCTTATATTGTCTGAAGGTGGAGGGACATGGCAAAGGAGAAGACATACAAAGCTCATGCTCAAAAATTATTTGTTTTTATCCCTCAACTTTACTGGGGAATAACTGTATATATTTAAAGGGCAAAATGTGATGATATGATACACCTTACGGGGTGAAATGATTACCAAGATCAAGATAATTAACACATTCACATCTCACATAGTTGTTTCTTTGTTGGTTTGGTGGGGAGAATGCTTAAGGTCTACTGTAAGCAACTTTCAAGAATACAATACTGCCGCTTGTTCTGTATTTACCACAAACTGATTCCTGTAGGAACTGCTCTATGTGCTTCCTTTCATAGAATGACTACTGCAATTCTGGGAGGTGGGAATCGTTATCCTCACTTTACAGAAGAGGAACTAAGACCCAGAGACATGAGATAACTTTCCTAAACTCAAAGACCTTTTTTCCTGGATTGTAGGCTCTGTTAATGCTGTCCATAGTCCAAAGGTGATTCATTTTATAGGAAGTGGAGGAATCCACCAACTTATAGAATATTAGCATTTGCTACATAAATGGGTTCATGGGAATCTTTCATCTTCTGTTACTTTACCAAGATTTTGAACTTTATGATTCTTTTGGTCACTGATGTTACTTAGTATGCCCATCTAAAATACACACCATTTCAACCTAAGTGAATAAACAGAGAAGTACTGCATCTATCAATCACAATTTCCTGGTTTGACAATACGAGTTCCAACCTATTCACATAAGTACCTTGAAAATAATAAGCCAGGAATGACCTACCTTTTGAGTGAGCAGAGCTTGAACAACTTGGTTGGCTACCTGTAAAAAACAAAGAAAAGAGTTGCCGTTTATAATAATGAGACTTTATACACATGGACTGTAATTTACCAATACGTTTCCCACAGCTTATTCTACCTAATTAGCTCCTCATTTGCTTCTTTCCTCTCTCTGTAGAGGACCTGATTCTTTTCATAATAAGCCTATGCTTCTAGGTAACATTCTGCTTTTTTCCAAAGGTGACCTTGTTGCTAATTAAGATGGTTAGGTTGGGAAGATCATTCATACCCTGACTTCCACATCTCCATATTTGGAAAAATAATATCCTTTCATATGTAAAGTACTCCAAGACGGCTAAAAATGATACGGCTAAAAATGATACAGCGTAAAACACAATCCTAATTATCTGTACACAGTTTCTACACTTTGCTGATTTATAATGTCCTTTGCCTCTCCTTCCTATTCTTTTGCGGTGTGACTATTTTGCTCTTTAAAATGACTTGGAATATAGACAGGTTTGAATGGTGGAGAATAAGAGCAGCTCATTGTTTTCTAGATGCTCTGCTTACATCCTCAATGTTTTCATTTATGTCATCCTCTTGTCACTGCTACCTGTAGCAGAATCTGGTAGTTGTTTATTCTAATATTTATTTTCCTCTAAGTAATAAACTCTGGGGTTTTTTGTTTGTTTGTTTTGTTTTTTTGGCTGGGTACATTCAAATACATTCCCCAGCCTTCCTTATAGATAAGTGTCAATTTGTGACAAGTTCCTGGCCAATGAGTTATAAGTCAACCTTTTTTCTTGATCTTATAGAAAGTCTTTAAGAAGAAGCCTCACTTTTTTTGCTTCTTTTCCTGTCTGGGATATAAAAGTGATGGCTGGAACCTCAGCAGCCACCTTGATAAAGAAAGTAACAAGTATTGTTGGATGGATAAACAGAATGAACTCAGTCCTGATGATGCAGGGAGTTTCATTGTCTATCTCTGAACTTCTACGTAAGAAAGGAAAAAATAATTCACTGTTATTTTGAGCTTCTTCTAATACACAATCAAATAGAATTCTTACTAATATATTAACAAAATCCTAATTTTCTTCAGGTATCAGGCAGCTTGGGGCAGTAGGAGAAGCTAGGCCCCTCTCAGATGAAAGAGGTGAATCTTGATTAATCTATTCCAAACTTGGTAATTCCATTCCCTTTCAGTGAGTAGTCTAGCATTGGGCAATGTGGCACCATTCCAGCTAAAAGCCACATATAAAACCAATGACATGTACCTGTTTTTTTGCAAAGTATTTGCAAAGATCTGCCATTTTCTCCAGATAACCATTCATCACTTTTCTATGTATTTGTGCTAAGATTTCTTTTTTCATCTGCGGGTTTCAAAAACACCATACAGGAAGTCACTTACTTCACTTCACTATAACCTTGAAACTATGCAATCCATACAGCTACTCTTGATAAAATAAAGGTGTGTAGGTGATTTAAGTGGTATTTTTCAGCAAGTACATGAACTGTACTCATTTAATATGATCACTGAAACTTACAGCATTAAAGTCCAAGTCAGACTATATAAATGTCTTAGATACCAAGTTACTTCTGTTCATTCATTTCTTCCTTCATTTATTGAATATAAATCTGTAGAGTATTGTAAAGCTAGATGACTGCAATATGTTCCTTGGTTTCAGAGAGAATATTACTGGCAAGCAGAACACAGCATGATAAGCACGTAATCATCTTGGTAATTCTCACATTCAACCAAAGGCTGAGGGACATGCTTTCATCTTTTTATCTTGATAACCAGGTTAATTTTTGGTGATACTAAACTATGTGTGCTTGTTCCCCTGTCTGGTATAGTGGAACAGATTAGGGTAAGAATGTTTGCATGGAGCTTGTTTTTTCACTCAATATTGACAAAGTAGCACACCCTAAATGACAGCTGGCTACCAGTAAGTCTCATTGAAAATTAAAACGCAGGCTTGTCATCAACTGTGGTTGATATGGTTAGGAGGCATTCACAGCACAAGCAGTAAATGATTAAAATCAGATTACCCATAACTGATTAGTTGAACTGTAGACACAAGGATTTTTTTCCCCCCTATCAGAATCCTTTCCAACTTTACATTGTTGACATTAAGCAAAGGAGAGAGACCTTTCACTGAAAATGACTACAGTTTTGAAGAAAAAATTGGACAGTACCTGATATAGTTTGCTTATTTGTTTATAGTCCAGCCCAAGTTAAAGAAACCTACGTAAGGAATCTCATAGACCAAAATAAACCATATTTCCCTTAACTGATGCCTTTTCTTTTCCATTTATCAGTTGATTTATACATGATCATAACAAAAATAAATGTTATTCGGCCCCACAAATTGACCAATAGTGTCATCTTGAAAATCTTCTAAACATTCATTCCATTTCATAAGCCACTGAAGATTTAAAGTCAAACTATAGGTCATCAATTTTACTCTTGGCAAATTAAGAAAAAAACATACAACAGAAGAGTTCAACTATTCACACAGCTTGAATCAGGAACAATGTACCAAAATTAATTCATATCATAAATAATTTAATTCTTCTGGATCTCAAACTTTGGATTTGATTTACATTCTCATAAAACTGCCTAATACCAATATTTTCTTTTCTTCCCCCAACTGGTCCCTCACTTAAACCGGGCTGTGGAACAGTGGTCACATAAAATAGCCCTCCACATGATTTAACAGGAGACATAAATGAATATCCTAACTGTAATAGCCCACAGGAGAAAATACATCCTATCTTTGCAATCTGAGTATGTTACCCTATAGGCTGATAGGCTCCATCTCTGACACAGTTCCTTCTGGCATGTACTTTGGACAATTGCTCTACCTAATAATTGAACAAAGATACACAAAAGCATTATTTCTTTACCTCCTGACACGGGGTTATATTACCCAGAAGGACTCGCAGGTCCTCTGCAGAAGAGCAGGCCAGTTTGTACAAATGCTGTCCTTGGTAGTGTCTATAAGCCGGTTTCCTGGGTTTCTTCACGACTTTCACAGCTAAGCTTCCCTGAAGCATCAGTAGAACAGGTGTTTGGAGCTTGTGCCTGCAACCTCTAATAGGTTCACAAGATGACCCCTGGAATGGGCCCCTGCCCTCATCACAGAATTATGCCCTTAGCACTTGCATTGCAAATAATCACACACCCGCAGGCCCAGCTAATGAGAATAAATAACTTCCAGTGTCACCTGACAGCTTTCCTCTCCAAAGAAAGGAAAAACAGCAGCTGGGTTGGGCCAGGGGGACTTGAGACAAGCGGAGCAAGCTGACAGTCCTGAAGCCTCTGGCTTGTTTTACAATCTGCTTTAGGTTCTCTTTGGAGACCTCCCTGCTTTGCCTCTGGTGGGACAGGGCGGCAGGGGAGCCAGAGATGCCAAGGAGAGGGCCCAGGTATCGCTCTTTTCCTCTCCTTAAGACTTCTCTCAGACAAGCCAGCTCCTCTGACACCTGGCTCATCAAAACCCCACAAGAGTCTTTGTTCTCCACCAGGCTCCTAGGGGTCCTGTCCCCACCCCCGGGCCCCAGCCCGCCCCCCTGCACTCCCTGGAAGTAGGTGGACAGAGGGAGGAGAAGTCAGGGTTGAAGCATTGTCTATTCTTTTTTCCTTTCTTTCTTTTTTTATTTAAATAGTACTTGAGGCTGAATGAGAAGCCACACCTCGGAGTTATTCTAAGAGGGAGCCAGTTCTCCCCCAATCCAGAGGAGAGCCAGGGCTGGGTAGAAGATGGTGGAGTGAGGAACTCTGAAGGCAGGAAGCTTTGACCAGGCTCCTCCTGCCTCAGTCTTGCTTTTATCCATGCTTGTGCTATTTTATCATGTAAAACAATTGTCACATCAGCAAGCTCATTTAAAAACCTAATTGGACAAGGATGAGTTTTGGAAAATGTGCTTTGGAGAAGTTTTTAGTGCTTCCGAGTTTGGTTTATCACACTGAGGCAGATGGGGACAAGTGGGAAGAGCACCGGGGCAGAATCACAAGAAGGACTTGGGTTCAAATGCAGCCTGTGTTGATGATACACTGATAGGTCTGGGGTGGGGGAGCAGCTTGACTTTACTCATTTGTGAAGCAGGGGAACTGGCTACCTTTTGGCTTGTGAAAAATGCATGAGATGATAGATATAACCCGGGAAACCCCCTTGGAGAGTACCTGATATAAAGCACTTACTCCAGTATGCACGCGTAGTGGGGTATGCATGAATTGAATGAATAGCATTTTGAGATAACTAGTTAAGAAAGAATGGTTTGAGACTATGTTTTATTTGTATAAGGATGAAGTGTGTGTGTATGTGTGTGTGTGTGTGTGTGTAATACGCATGTATAAGTATAAATCACTAAGCCCTTATTTATTTGCTCTGTAAAATATTGGGAGTGGGAGAAACTCATTGAAATATGTATGTGGGGTCATAGGGAAAATTAATTGGGAAATTAATTTGGGGCTGACAGTCTCCATTCATTTAGTCATTCAACAAATACACATTAAATGCATAGTATGGGCCATAGATTGTGCTGGATCTTGGAGAAATATGCTGAACAGAACACAGGTGCTGCCTTATGGTGGTCAGAATCTAGAGCAGATACAAGAAGTCCATCATCTCTTGATTTCGTGGTCCACTCAAGCAATGGGCATTCGAAGTGTGTGAGAGCAACCACCAAGATCATCTCCTATCTCCATGGATCAAGACGTTGCTCTTCAAGATTACTTAGGACTCAGGTGAGGACATGCACTGAGAATGTCTGATGATTCCACAACCCAGTCTTGGCATATAGCATAGGAATTGGAGAGGAAGGTCAGAACTGTTCTTAACAACCTGCTTTTGCCTTTATCTAGCCTTGGTTTAAAAGAAATTCTGGTTTTGTGTTTTGTTTTTGTTTTTTCCTTTTTTCAGAACTACGTCCATTTCCTGCCTTGATACTCTTAAGTAGAGAGCACAGAGAAGTCAGAGAAGAACTCAGATCTGGCATCCTCATGGACTATAGGGAACTCTGGCTGTACTCTGGTGGTTT